GTTGGTGCAACTACCCTTTTGGTAGAAGACGCAAGGATGCACGTGGTGCCGGTTGCAACCAGTGCGCTGACACATATTACCCTTTGCAAAATCATAGCAAAAATACCTGGCAGCCGGGGGCCTCGAAGTAGCCGCGCCAGAGGCGCTGCCTCGAGCGTCTCTACGATGTTGAGATGATTGGCGATTCCTGGGAGGATCACGAGACGACGGGTGGCGTCTGGGCGGCGGTTTCATTTCAGCAGTGTGCAAAAACTTACATGTATCTGGACGGGGACACCCTTTGCCCTTGAAGAAAGGGACGCAATGTGAGTTGCGGCTTGATTGTTTGGTCTTAGTCTTGGCAGGGGCAACGGTGTCCCGCGATTCTTTTTGCATGCTATATTGATTCTTCTGTAGCTTATGTAAATCAAGAACATCGTAAACTCTTTGATGGAGCCACTTATATGTCTTGATTACCTCTCCGTTCTCATCTTTGGCTCCAGCCTTGGCTTTGTTGTATTTGCTCTGTCTTCTTTCATCCAAGGGTGTCTCTGAACCTGAGTACGAAAGAGGGATTCCATGATGTACATCTCGGGTAGTTTGTTAAGAGCCAAAAGTAATCGATCCCATTCGACGATGAAACGCTGGAGATCGTCTCCGTGCATGCGTAGATTCTTGATGCGATCAAAGTCGTGAAGGTGGTCCTCGGCAACCGTGACGTCGAATGAACGGATAATCTTCTGATATACCTGACGTCCTTTAAGCATGCGCTTTGCTTTGTGTTCAACGTCCTCTAACAGCTTCATTTGCAATCTTAGCTCATGTGGGAGGATCTCGAGGAGAGCGTCAGCTAACTTACAGTCGAGGCTCTCAAAGTCGCCGCTGTCGGCGAGATCCTCAAAAGTCATCTCAGGGTTCTCCGCTACCATGATGAAGGCGTACGCCTGAGCTGGGCGTCCAGAGGCGTTTCTGAAACCCTTGCGGACACCGTTCATCCAATCGGAGACTCCTGTGATCTTAGGGAAGCCTGGGACCCGAACACGGTCACTTTCTTTGACTGTGGCAGGAAGTAGTGACCCGCCAACATTGTACGGGGATTGCGCAACGTTGGAGCCGAGGGGACCTAGATTAATGGGAGAGTGTGTTCGAAAGCTGGCATTGTCTGCAGCTGGCTCAGGGGCAGGGGGCTGGGCTGCGGTTCCCCGCTGCTCGTCAGCACCAGTTCCTGCCTGAGGAAGTGTCGGCTTGGAAGCGGCCCCAGTAGAACCCCCCGCATCGCGAGCAGCGGCGTCAGGGGAGGGGCGGCGAGAGCCGGTAACAGGTGTATGTTTGGCTGCGTCCGCGATGTGATCGTGTATTGTTTGCTCAAGCGTGGTGTTGTCTGCCTGCAGTTTTGCGACGCAATCAGACAATACATCCAATTCAGCGTGTTGATGTTTCTGAGTGTCCGTGAGGAATCGAACGTCATCCTTATTGTGGGTAGTATGATTGACGATAAGAGTACGCAGGTCAACATTCTCGTTAGCAAGACGAGCCATCTCAGCGTTCATGTGATCCAGGCGCGCAGTCGCGCGTGCTGACTCGGCATCCCTCTCGGCCACAGAATCCTGCAGCTGCCTTTGCAAGTGGGCCACCTCCGCTCGGACGGTCTGTAGAACAGCTGCCGTCACGTCGGGGTTGGTCACCGTAGCAGTGGGACTCACCTGCGCAGTATGATCCCGTGCGACCTGCAGCTCAGCTACGGTCTGCTCGAGAGTGTGGACTCTGGATAGAAGCTGTGGTACATGTTGAACCTGACAGGAAGAGAGTTGAGCTTGGAAGGCGTTCTCGGCCTCACATAACTTGCCATACAAATCTTGCTGGACGGAGCGTGTATGATCGTGCAGCTCACGTGCTGCAGCTTCCGTTTCACCACGGATCGTGGCAATATGACCTCGTAGTGCGGTGGAAGGCGCTACGAAGGCACCTGAAGCTGTGCCCGCGACTTCTCGCAGCTCTTCGCGAAGAATGCGTGCACGTTCATCGTTGTGTTGACGAATCTGAATGACGCTAGCTTCAAGTCGATCGAAGTCGGACTTGACGGCCACAAGTTCGTTAGTCTCGCGATCTCGTTGTATATCGAGACGCTGCATCAGCTGTTGCATGACCCGACGGTCCTCCTGGACGGCAGCGTCCAGGATCGAAAGACCCTGTTGGAGGTCACTCCGGAGGACGGCGGTATCAGAGGCGACAGCCTTGTGGACGAGGCTAGCTTGATATTCAACGTATGTGTGCACGTGATCTCGTAGCTCAGCCATGTCTTGCATTGGCAGAGCCTCCCTATGTCGGTTTGCGGCTGGGGAACTTTGGGGCCTAATACGAACCCCCCGGACAGATGGACTCCTACTGCCGCGATCGTCTCGAATGATGTACTGTTCGGGGCCACGCCTGGGGGCTTGGCTCCTAGAATGAGCACGGCGACTAGGGCCATGGTCAGAAGTACGGTTTTCGAATTCACGGACTCGCTCATAAACCTGTCCCTGTTCAATCCCTGTTTGTTCGGGCGTCCCATGGCCCCACCTTCGTGTGCCTGTACCTCTCTCTCTCGGAGGGGAGGAAGGTGTGGTCATCTGTTGAGCTGCGGTGTCCCGCTGCACTGTCTGGGACGGTGCTGCGGTGGCCCGCTGCGCTGTTTGTGGCGGGGCTGCGGTTTCCCGCCGCGCTGACTGGTGCAGTGCTGCGGGAGGGACGTCAGATGTGGTATGAAGGGTGGGGAATTGAGGCGTGAGCCCTGGAGCGGCGTGTAAGAATCGCTGCTGTAGGGAGGGCTGATCTCCAATAGGAAGTGGGGGTTCGGAAACGCTATGAGCATGCAAGGCACGAAGCTGGTGCAATTGAGCTTGCATAGCATGAAGCTGAACTGCCGCCTGGGTGGGCAACGCTGGCATTGCTGCGGTTTCCCGCTGCATTGACTGCGCTGCACTGGGTGGGGGCATAGCTTCGTCCAATCCGTCGGTTCCTGGAGAGATGGCCATGCGGGCCGCAAAATTGGGGGAAGCTCCTAGAATATCGGACATATCAGCATCCAAGTTGCGCACGACTGACGGCGACGACTCATCATGCAGGGTCCGACGGACGACTGGTGTCGTGCCGTCATCCTGCATAACGAGTCCGATGTCGACAGGTCGGGTCGCAGGTTGGACGCGATGTCGGATATAAAAGAGAAGGCTGATAACCTGTGTGAGGGTGAGGAGGACCAATGGACCGACCCCACCCCGAGTGTTCCGTCGGTAGACGATGAGGGACGATGGTTTTACCCAACGTACCTCCAACTATCGAGTACCTGTCATCCGAGCCAAGAGGGGCGATGGATATGAGCAAGATAGGAGGAAAGTAGTGGGATTCACACACATGAGGCGATGCCCAGCTTAGGGATAGGGATATGTTCCAGGCTGGTAACCCTGGAAGGGGCCTCGCAAGCTTTCGTCAGGCCTGCGCGGTGCCCACGAGAGCAAGAGCGCAGCCGAGCACAGGGGGGCGTGCAGGCAGCTGCGGAGCTCGGACGTGCAGGAGCAAGGTGTGGACGACGCTGAGAGCAGAGCACGCCAACTCTGCTGACAGTCGGTGTGAGTTTTGGGGACCCGTGAGCCTGCGAACAGATGCCACTCCTATTGTACACGTCTGCTCGAATATGAACGCACTCGCACTCGGTAAGTCTGAGAGGTTCTTGAAGACGGCGGTGCCCGAGCTCGTCTTTGATAACCGAGTAGCTGGCTGATCGAACCGAGCGGTGGTGGCTACTGTCTCCCTCGCAATCGCGCACAGTAATTAGGAGAAGAAAGGCAAGCACGCCCTGTTGCGAGCTGCATCATGTGACGTGGCCGCTACTGAGATCTGTTAGGATCGTACGCGCGCTGTGGCTAAGAGCGCGATTCACACAGTGACTCGATAGAGGGAGCGTCATGTTGCTTGGACTCCTGCACACGTTCCTCCCAACTTCTCTGAAGTGCGTAAAACGCTCCAAATGTGAACGTCGAGCCCGTGAGAGATCGAATTGTTTTCCGGACCAGGCCCTGTCTGCCTGCTGGGCCGAGACCCCGAAACATCCTGACAGCTCTCCTGACAGCTCATCCTGCTCACTACAGGTGAGCAGTTGCATGACACGCACGCATGATCTCTGGCAGAGAGGCGTTTTACCGTCTGCGGTCTGTGCGGTTCGTGGGCCACCAGATCGCCAGTTGCACTGTGGCCATTGAGGGCCCGCATGCCTTCTCCCTCGAGCAATTGCACCCCCCTCGCAGTGTCCAGAAGGGTCTCTCTCCTCAAAAAAAAAAAGAAAAAAAAAAAAAAAAAAAAAAAAAAAACAAAAAAAAAAAAATAAAAAAAATAAAAAAAAAAAAAAAAAAAAAAAAAAAAAAAAAAAAAAAAAAAAAAAAAAAAAAAAAAAAAAAGAAAAAAAAAAAAAAAAAAAAAAAAAAAAAAAAAAAAAACAAAAAAAAAAAAAAAAAAAAAAAAAAAAAAAAAAAAAAAAAAAAAAAAAAAAAAAAAAAAAAAAAAAAAAAAAAAAAAAAAAAAAAAAAAAAAACAAAGCAGTGTCCAGAAGGGTCTCTCTCCTCAAAAGGCTGCTAACGAATTGGGAGCGGAAGGCCCGTGCCCAGCTAGTCTGAATTGTCCAGACCGCCCTCCAGGAGGTGGCTTGGCGCTGCACACAAGTCCAAACATCCCCTCCTCTCCTCCTCGCCCCCTTCCTCGTCCTCCATCTTCGTCTCCTCCTCCCTCCTCCTCTTTTCCTCCGAACTCCTCTATTCTCACCTTTTCTTCTGCCACCTCCCCACTTCACTCTAGACTACTCTTACTGTATCCTCCTCCTCCTCCTCCTCCTCGTCCTCCTCCTCCTCCTCCTCCTCCTCCTCCTCCTCCTCCTCCTCCTCCTCCTCCTCCTCCTCCTCCTCCTCCCCCTCGGTATCATCACCGCCGTCGCCACCAGCACTGTCGACACATTTGCCCTGCGGCTTGCTTGCACAGCCAGCCCTCCATCAAGCCTGCGGCACCGAAGGATCACGCCCGAACTGAATGATGTCCTACCAGCAGGACGGGAAGAGAGAGAGAGAGAGATGGAGAGAGAACAAAGGAAAACATGTAGAAAGAGAGAGAGAGAGAGGAAAACACAAAAAAACGAGAGAGAGAGAGAGAGAGAGACAGAGAGGAGGGAGAGAGAGAGAGAGAGTGGGAGAGAAAAAAAGAGGCTGATATCGAGGTCGAGGGGAGGAAAGAGAGAGAGTGTGCCTGGGAATGAGAGAAAGAGGTGGCAGACGGGCGGAGAAGAACGAGAGAGGAGAGGGGCAACGAAAGAGAGGAGGGCACACTGACAGCAGAGACGGGGAGACGGAGAGGCGGAGCCACCTGGGGACAGATACAGAGAGAGAGGCCAGAGAAGAGATATCCGAATGATGGGCCAAACGGCGTTTGAAGGTGCTGCCAGCAAGAGACATGGACATGCCCACTCCATACCGGCTTGGGTCTAGGTGGCCTCAGCCTGCATGGCAGCCAGCGGGACAACCCATGCAAGTGGCAGCGCATTTCGCATCACACCTAGAAAGGCACACGACGAGCCAAGAGGGAATCCGAACGAGCTTTCTGTGAATCACCGCAATGAAGAAGGGTCGGCGGACCAGCGCAAGCAAAAGGCGCGACGACTCCGACTCGCAGCGTCGTGGGACACGCCGCGTCCTGGTCTGGCCAACACGGGCCGCGGACTGGCAAGTGTGCGCCTGCGCAGGCGGGCGGCCGCGGCGAGGGGCCCGAGGGGGAAGACTCGCGCAGGCCATGCAGAAAGCGACGTGCGGTGCCGGCGGCCTCAGGTGAGGGCCAACGACGGGGAAAGGGGGAGCTGGATCAGGGGGCATCGGCAACGCATTGAGGATGCATCGCCAGCAGATCGGCGGCGGCAGGCCCCCGACAGCGAGAGCGGCCCTTCCAGGGCGAGGTGGGCTGCGAGGCTCAAGTCGGCGATCCATTGCGATAGAGGGTCGAGGCATTCCCCCTGGAGCCTGAGCCTGCGCACGGTGGCATGCGGGCCACGACGCAGGCCTCCAGTGGCCGTTCGAGGTGATCTGGGCACGCCCTGAATGCGCTTGGCGACGCGCAGCTCCTGGATGGCATCACGAGCCTGGGAAGAGCATCGAGATCCGGCGAAAACCCAAAAGCCTCGAACCTCGAACCTCTCTCCTGAGCCTATCCCCCCCTAACGTTGCCTCTGATCAGGCCCCCCACCGATGTCCGAAGGCAACACAGAAGCATGGGCTCAAGCACGATGGCACGTCGACCTTGGGCGACTGCAAACCCAACGCGCGGCACTCCGTAGGGAGAAGACAGCACCTGCGGCCACGATCGTGGTCTAACGACAGTGCAGATCGCTGGACATCAGCCGCTACTGCGCCACCGATTAGTAGCGGAAACAATATAGTATAGAGCCGACACCTAGATTTTTCCAACCGCCGCGCGCTCAACGCAGCCTGCATTCAAGAAGCGTCGCGGACAAGCCGGACCCGGTCCAATCAAAAAAACATCTGCCAGGGGAAGCTCGGCGCCGTTGGAATGGGCCCCGAGATTTTTCCTGTTCGCAGGCACAACGCCAAGCTCTGGCGCAAGCAATACAGACGCACGGCGCCTCCTCAAGGCACTACCGCGACACTGGGAGAGTAGGTGACTATAGCACTGTGGAAAAATAGGAGTGCCCCCCCACCCGCGCTGCAGCCCATGGCGCTGCTGTGTTCGATGTTGATGCGGCCTTGTGATGCCGCACCGTCGTCTCGCGCTTTCACGGCGAAGCTGAAACCCGCAACCAACAGAACAAACCCGAGCACGCGCGGGGGAATGGCGGCCCGATTGGGCCAGGCAGTGGCCCAAAGATCAGCCTGAAAGTTGCCAGCAAGAGCTCTGGTGCCAACACCCCTGCGCTGCTCTGGGGTGGAGTGTGCCTTCCGCCTTGAGGATCCGAGACTTGCCAAGTCCAACCCCACCCCGGTCCTCACTATTGACCGAAAAGAGCTGTCAGTGACCAGAATCAGCCGCTGCTGAAGCACAGCATGCTTGCTCACCGATGCCAAGGAGACCTGGCAATACAAAGCCACGAAACTTCAGTTGATTCGCACTGTTGAAGTCCCAGGAATGGTGTGTTTGCGCACTTCCGGATCTTCTAACACTTGTATTCCAATAGGGCCTCTTCCTCAATGGAAATGCACCCCTGTAGGGGCCTACGAAGACGGGGCTTGGAAGGAGAATGGATTCCAACATCGCTGATGAATCAAGGGTTTATCGAGTTCACGCTGGTCCTCATCATCCTTCCCCATCGCCAGCACGTCGAGCTGCTGAGCGTTCGCCGGCAGGCAAGCGAACGCAACACAAATCTCTAGAGGCTCCGTGGCACTGCCCACGACTCAGCCCTCCCTTCCCTGCGGCGCATCTCCGAGGACCGCTGGCCCGCCGCGTCGCCTCCGTGCTGGGCGCGTGCGGCCTGGGGCCTTCGGCCCGCTCCGTGTGGGCGGGGCCCGCCCCTGGACGCTCCTGCGAGACTCGTCGCCTGGATTCGGCGTGGAACTCTGGGCGTCGCGAGCCTGCCCCGTGTGGGCGCAGGCCAGCGCTGCCGTGGGCCCCTGGGGGCCTCGGGCACCCGTCCTGGGTCCCGCACCGAATTGAGATCCAGCAGGGCCAGCGCAGCACCGCACCTGAACGCCTGTAAATCAGTACCCAACCACCATCATCATCATCATCATCATCATCATCATCATCATCATCATCATCATCATCATCAGCAGCAGCAGCAGCAGCATCATCATCAGCATCATCAGCAGCAACATCATCATCATCATCATCATCATCATCATCATCATCATCATCAGCATCAGCATCAGCATCAGCATCATCATCATCATCATCATCATCATCATCATCATCATCATCATCTTCATCATCATCATCATCATCATCATCATCATCATCATCATCACCATCCTCATCCTCATCCTCATCCTCATCCTCATCATCATCATCAGCATCAGCATCAGCATCATCATCATCACCACCACCATCACCATCATCATCATCATAGTCATCATAGTCATCGTCATCATAGTCATCATCATCATCATCATCATCATCATCATCATCATCATCAGCATCAGCATCAGCATCATCACCATCATCACCACCACAACCACCGCCACCACCACCACCACCATCATCACCCTCATAGTAAACATCATGAACATCATCACCATCAGCAGCAGCATCATCATGATCAGTATCACCATCCCATCATCATCACCATCAGCAGCATCAGCATCATCATCATCATCAGCACCATCATCATCATCATCATCATCATCATCAGCATCATCATCATTCGCAGTATCAGCGGCAGCAGCCGCAGCAGCATAATCATCTTCATCATGATCCCCCTCCCCATCTTCACCATCAGTATCATCATCACGAGCCTCGCCATCATCATCAGCATCATCAGCATCATCATAATCAGCATCATCATTAGCATAATCACCAGCAGCATCATCCATTCATCGTCATCATCAACATCGTCATCATCCTCACAAACACCACCATCATCATCAGTATCATCAGCAGCATTATGAGCATCGTCATCCTGATGTGCATTCTAATCCGCATACATATCACCATAAGCATACTCAGCATCATCATCAGCAGCAGCAGCATCATCGTCATCATCATCACAAGCAGCAGCAATCCTCCACGCCCTCCCCATCCTCCTCTCCTCTGCTCTCCTCCGTCTTTCGTGACCGTGACTCCCTCCCCGCTCTCCTCGGTCTGTCCTGACTCCCTCCGCCCGACCCGCGCCCGGGTCCTCCACTGCCGACGCCCACCCCGCAAGCAGCGACCGCACCGCCACCACCGAGAGGCACAGAGCCAGGCGGAGCATCGCGTGCGCCTCCGGCGGCGGCGACGACGCCATAGCCCCCCCCCCAACATGTCCTCTTCCTCCTCCTCATCACTCTCCAATCCTCAACCTGCACCTTCTGCCCCCGTCCTCAATCCTCGTCCTCCTCATCCTCCTCATCCTGCTCTGCGTCCTCCTCCTCCTCCTCCTCCTCATCATCATCATCAGCAGCATCATCAGCAGCATGCGTCCCGAGTCGCCGAACGATCGCTCCGAGACGCTCAAGATGGCCCCCAAATGGTCTCAGAAGCGTCCATGACGCCCCAAGAGGCCTCCCATATGCCCCAAGAGGGCCCCAAAAGGCCACAATTAGTGAACATCCGTACTTCGGACTTTAAGGCTTTGGGCGTTCTCGCCGTTTCGGTTTCCCGACGCTCCCAGACGGCCCTCGATGCCCCCAAGGCCGCACCAAGACGGCCCAAGAGGCCTCCAAGAGGGGGCCAAAACGGCCCAAGAGAGCCCCAAGGCGGACCACCAGGCGCCCAAAACGGCCCAAGAGGGCCCCAAGACGGCCCCAAAAGTGGCTCAAGAGAGGGAACAAGAACCGAAAATCCAAGCCTTCCGCCCCAAGAAGCCCCCAGGAGGCCCTAACAGGCGCTCCGAGGGCCGCAAGAGGCCCCATGAGGGCCCCCAAGAGGCCCCCCAAACGCCCCAAAAGGCCCCCAAGAGGCCCCCGCGAGGCGTCAAAACTGCCCCCACGAGGCGCCCGAGAGGCCTCCACGAAACCCCCACGAACATCCAATAGGCTTCACACCCAGAACCCAAGCACGGTGGCGGGATGGGCGGAACGCAATTCGATATATCATCGCAACCGCATCTTGATCGTCCCCGTCATATTCCTCGTGCTCTTCCACCTCATCTGCATATGCATCCGGTATTCGCGCCTTCCCCCTTTCCCACTCTCCGCTCTCAGGGACGAGCGAAGAGATTGTGGGAGACGGGGTGGAGGGTAGACTGTCGAGATGGAAGGTGGAATGGGGACATCGAGGCTGGAGCGGGGGTAAAACGCAAAAGGGACGGGGACATGCAATAGCCGCCGCGTGCTTGGAGTGTTCTGTTCAATGTTTTAGGTATTCGCCTACGTTGACGACAGAACGGGAGCGCGACAGGTGGGTGGACAGGGCCAAGGTTCTCGAATCGCATCTGACTTTCACCGCGCAACCAGACTGAAACATCGCCAGTTTCGTTTCCGTTCGGATCACCGTCACCCTTGTAGAGAAGATCGAGCCATCGTCCCCATCGTTCCCCCACGAGGCGCGATAGTCCAATCTCAGGCGAAGGGAAAGGGAACGGGGCGAGGACCGAACAGGGGAGACGGGAGGACCGGAGCGGAGGGAGGACGAAGGAAGTGAGGCGGAGGATGGAGAAGAGACCCGAAGAAGTGAAAAGAAGGGAGGAGGAAGGAGAAGAGTTCGTTGCCTCGGGGTGCTCACAAAGGGTCGTAACATTCGTCGTCGGCCACGCCGTAGCGTTTGGTGTCCTCGGTGGGCGCCTAAGAAGCGCAGCCGTACATGTGTGCTGGCGTCACCGTGCCGCTGAGCAACCGCAGTCAGTTGTGGAGTGGGCGCCGTTTCCTTGCGATTCCGTCCCGAAACTGTTAGAACGGCGCCATTCAAACGCCAGCTGGTTGGACAAATCTGCTTGGTGAAAGTCGTGGACAGTGAGCTTCGGGCCAAGATATTCGGTGGTCTGGTCCGCGCTGGGAATTTCAATGATGTCTCCTGCAAAGTCAGTATGCGAAGTTGCCCGTGCCTGTCGTCAGCTGGCAAAGGTGAGAACATGGGCTATGTCAGGGTGTAACGCAGGCCCGAATTTGGATGTTTTGTTTCTTGGGGTCCTGGAGTATGATTTTAAAATGTCGTACGTTTGGTGTAAGGAGAAGTACGTCGTCGGCAAAACGTAGATTAGTGAGTAGTAAACATGGAACGCGTCAGGGGTATGCCAAGCCGTATACGCCCCCACGGAAGTGCAACGTGTCAGAAAACGTGCTCAAGCACCGCGCTGAATAGGTAGGAGCTGAGAGGGTCTCCTTGCGTGGCTCCGCGCTAAAGATTGAAATCTTTGCTGCTGACGTCTGTCCGTACGGCGGTCAGCTCGTTGTAGAATGTGTGCAGCAAAAAGATGTATGGTTCTAGAACAGCATGCAGTCGAAATGCTATCCATGGGCGTTCGTGGTCGACGTTGCCACAGGCCTTTTGTAAGTCGGCCGCAGCAGCCCATAACAGCAATTGCCCTTGGTGGGATTGTCCGTGAAGTGGTGTCGCGGTGAAGGGATGGTCCTCCGCGCAAAACCTTTTTCGGAAGCCAGCTTGGTCAGGTGTTTGCTCAGAACCAGAATTCGATTCCAGCCAGTGGCGCAATACATGTAAAATCCTGTGTAGAGTAATGGGGGGATGGCTACTGGTCTGTAGTGTTCGGGGGGGGGCGGCTATGCAGATTTAAATTTGACGCTTATTGTAGTTCGTCTCCATTGCTCGGGGGGTCCTTGCTTGTTCGGGCGGTACGACGTCGCAGCAGCCCTTGACAAGATGGTGTTCCATGACGCTCACTCAAATGTTCGACCATATGCTGTGCTGCCAACCGTGCCTAGCACCTGCCGTTGTTTAGCTGCGTCACTGCAAGGTGTACTTCGTCACTGCTGAAGCGTGGGATCTGGAAGTCGGTGCATTTTGCTGCGTGGTTTCGCGCGCCCAGCGCCCGCCCGTCTGAAGCCCCAGCTGTTGCAACGGCGCGCATGTGAAATCGCCGATAGAACTCAACGAAAACATCTGCGATGCCTCGTCGTTCCGTCTCGTTCGCACCGTCGTTGGCGGTCATTGCTGGTATCAGCTCCATTCCTTTTCAGACTTGATGCCGGACAAGTGCCTGAGGTCGCCGAACTCGCATGTGATGTCGATCCGTGTTACGCATTGTCGAGCTCAATGGATGGTCCTGTGCTGTCGGCGGATGCGCTTGCCGAGGGCATTATCTGGCGATTGCGTCGGAGTGCGGCGTGTTCCTGCGCTGTTTGATGAAAGCTCGTAAGAAACAAGTGGCTTCGTCATCGACGTCGTTGTTGTCGCCACCGTCGTTGCGCGGCTGATGTCGTTAATGCTGCCGCCCTTGTGGAAGTCTGCACGTGCTGCTGACATTGCTTCTTCGGCGCGCGCGCAACTGTCACACAAGTCGCTCGGTGTCAAGCAAGTAGCGCTGGAAATCTGGATCGTTAGGACGAGGTGGTGCTTAGTTTGCGTGCTAGCGTCGTTGTATACTTCGTGGTCGTGGTCGGCGCTTGTCCCTGCCCATCGCCAGACCGAGGTGCACAGCCTGCTGGTCGGATCCGAACCCGGGGCATGACGAAGCAAATGCATCAAGCATTAAACGCCAAGCTCGCTGACCCATGAGAATGGAATCGACTGGGACTGTTGTTATGCCTGGAACCAGTATGCCTACGTGTGAAAATGTCATGCGTGCGTTTGCAAAACATT